GAATAGATGGGGGCGGGGCCAGTCAGAGGCGGTACTTACTGATTCTCCGAACTACTTAAAATTTCCGCTACCGGTTCTCCAGAACGGGTCAGAACCTGCTGAATACCACATCTGAACCACACCATTGTGAGTTCTGGTTTTCTTGATAAAGGACAAGATGTCAAGCTTGTAGGAGGTACTGAGAAGAAGGCTGCAATCCAGTGGTGGGATTCAATTTATTTACTATCGGTTCTGCGGGTGTGGCTTGGTGGGCATGGGTTTGTGGACGTGGCAGGGGAAGGTTACTGTAAAATCCCCATTCCCTCATCATCAGCTGGAACTCGGGAGGCAGAGAATAGAAGGGGCGGGGCCAGCCAGAGGTGGTATTTACCGGTTCTTCAAACTACTCAAAATTTCTGCTACCGGGTCTCCAGAGCTGGTCAGAACCTGCCGAATACCACATCTAAACCTCACCATCGTGAGTTCTGGTTTTCTTGATAAAGGGCAAGATGTCAAGCTTGTAGGAGGTACTGAGAAGAAGGCTGCAATCCAGTGGTGGGATTCAATTTATTTACTATCGGTTCTGCGGGTGTGGCTTTGTGGGCATGGGGTTGTGGACGTGGCAGGGGAAGGTTACTGTAAAATCCCCATTCCCTCATCATCAGCTGGAACTCGGGAGGCAGAGAATAGAAGGGGCGGGGCCAGCCAGAGGTGGTATTTACCGGTTCTTCAAACTACTCAAAATTTCCGCTACCGGTTCTCCAGAACGGGTCAGAACTTGCTGAACGCCACCTCTAGTTTTGCCCCATTTTATGACTTTTCTTACCACATTTGTTAAGTGAGACTAGGAACAGGTTTGTTAAGTGAACCTGGCTTCCCCATTGACTTTGCTTGTCAGAAGGTCGCAAAAGGGGACACAGTGAAGGTCATAAATAGGAACCAGATGTCAAACTTCCGAATGTAAATCACATGACCGGTTTGTGTGAAAAATGGTCGTAAGTCATTTTCTTCAGTGCCGTTGTAACGTCAAACGGTCACTAAATTAACAGTTGTTAAGTCAAGGACTACCTGAATATGTCAGCAGTAAGGCAGCCTAGCAGCTACATCGGAATGCTGGATTTGTTTCCAGGGAGCATCCACATTTGTGTGCTCTACCTCCGTCCTGCTATCTTCCTGTTGGAAGCTGCAATCCCATTGCCTAAATCTAATTTCTTCCCATTTTCAGCCATGGCTCACTCATGTTGCCCTCGGGCAGCACATCTCAAAACCTTCTTTCTCCTCGACACACTTGGGAAACCCACATCCGAAAGAGAGCAGGCAATCTTTGTACATCTTCTGTGCTCTTATCTTTATAAACCTTCAGAACAAGTGTAAACCAACGGTTGACCTTCCTAAACAAAATCTCCGCGATCCAAGCTGGCAGTCTAAAGAGCTGCCCACTCCAGGGCGCTAGGAAGTTGGGGGGGGGGGAATAAAAGCTGTAAAACACATTCAGCGGCAACAAGAGGTCGCTCCACGAGAGAAGCAACCTGGAATTAAGGAGAAACTTCCTAACAATTAATCAATTGAACAGGTTGCCTTCAGAAGTTGTGGGTTCCTCCAATACTGGAGGTTTTTAAGAAGAGACTGGACAAGCACCTCTCTGCAATGGTATAGTGTCTCCTATTTGAGCAGTGGGTTGCACTAGAAGACCTCTACGGTCCCTTCCGGCTCTATTATGATTGTTTGACTGACTGACTGACTGATTGATTGACTAATACCTACCTGAGTTTTTATGTTCTCAGGATCTTCTACTTCACTGGCACGCTTGCTGCTGGGCTTCCAAGCCTTCTCAGCCTTGTTCAACTTGACATCTTCATTCAGAGACACTGTGGTAATAATCTTACGAGGCTCCTTCCGCAAGCTTTGCTGGGAACGCCGTTGTCCTGGCCCAGCCGGCTGTGATGCAGGACAGAGGGAGGGAGGGAGGGAGAGAGAGAAGAGGGAGAGAGAAAGAGAAGANAGAATTCCCCAGCCAGCGAATGCTGGCTGGGGAATTCTGGGAGTTGAAGTCCAGACATCTTCAAGTTGCCAAGGTTGAGAAACACTGCCTTACAGGATAAGAGAATTACTGCTTTCTCCCTTCCGCAGCAAAGGGGTGAAGAGGTACCTTGGCCTTCTCAAAGTCCAGGTCTTTGCCGATGGTCGTCAGCAGCCGACAGAGACACTCCAGGGACTCCTCGTCGTGGTTCTTCAGCAGCTTCACCACGCAGTCGTGCATGATGGCCTCCGTCAGCATCTTGAGCTTGAAGAGCTCCCCAATGAACTTGATGTTGCCAAGAGAGCGCCGGCGGGCTTTGTCCCTTGCATCGTCCAGCTCCTCCTTGAGGCGGGTTTTCTCTTCAGGCTGCCGAACAAAGAGGAGATTTAACGGTTGACTGTGGATAAAGTGACTTTTCCAAACCCTTAACTTAAAAACGATCCGTTTCAGCCATTTTTTATAACAACCCCTCCCCAAGTCTATAGAAGTTGTGCATAAAATGAATGGGGTGATGGCCTGATAAGTTGTCCATTTGAGGCTAGTGAGATTCAAATCAATTCTCCTTTTTTCCAACAGCAGACCCGTGAACTTCACTTCCTAGAGCAGTGATGGCGAACCTTTTTCGCCTGGGGTGCCAAAAGCATCCGCACGCCCATCCCCATAATTTAATGTCCCGCCCCATGCCGTGACCCCTGCGCATGGCTTCCTTGGAGCCTGGGGAGGGCTAAAACAGACTACCCCGGAGGCCCTCGGGAAGTCAGAAATGGCCTGTTTTCCTACTTCCAGTGGGCCCAGTAGATCCTTTTTTGCTCTCACCAGGCTCCAGAGGCTTTCTAGGAGCCTGGGGAGGGCGGAAAACAACCCAACACGCAAACCGGAAGTTCGGGAATGGACTTCCGGGTTGCCCGTTGGGTCATTTTTCTCCCTCCGGAGGCTTCAGGGAGCTTCCTTGAAGCCACCGGAGGGTGAAAAACAGCCCAACGCACAAACCAGAAGACCGTTGCCAAGTAGCTTCAGGGAAGCCTCCGGAGGGCAAAAAACATCATGTTGTATACATGATGTACAATGACAATAAAGGCTATACTAAGATTTGCGATTTTAATCTGATTGTTATGTGCCTCCTAGTGTTGCTTTTGGTGAGATGGGGAGCTAAGCAAATTAGATAAATTAGATAGATAGATAGATAGATAGATAGATAGATAGATAGATAGATAGATAGATAGATAGATAGATAGATAGATGGATTCGAACATACAGACGATAGATAA